GGCACGGCCCGTCGTGTCACTGTCCGCCATTCCATTTTCCCTCCCAGTTTTAAAGAAATGAGGCTTTTGCTGGTCTCAACTCTCAAGGGCTGTAGATGCAAGGCATGCAAGCCAAAGTGGGTTTTCCTTTTTCGCCTCCACAAAGCCGTTGATGCTGCTTGTGCACACAATGCACATTCCTTGTAAGGTGTATGTGGTTTAAGATGCAAGATGGGTTTCTGCTGGGACTAAGATCGATGCGCCTAGACCAGAGACTGGAGTCGTTAGTTCTAAAGGCCGTTGCAGAGTGCAGGCGCAGATACACGCGCAAGCGACGAGTGTGATCCATTCATTGTCCACATAAGATGGTCGTTTCATCGGAGTGGCAAGATACACAGGTAAGACGAGGCGGGAGACAACAAAGGCAAGACAGTGAGACCCAAAGGAGCAAGTACCCAACATTCGCGTATCAGTCCCGCCATGTCGAAACGTGAAGTCAGCCCGAGACTGGCCTCTTGTGGACTTGGCTGTGCATGCGCTCAATGCATACCATGTCCATGCCCTTGCCTGTTTCTCAACAATTCGATATGCAAGGGAGTTGTGTTTTCTGTACGCATACGTAGGAATGCGTGGATTTGTATCTTTACATATGCATGCATGTAGAAATTCTTCAATAAAAGCCGTACCGGTACTGCACTGACCGACTTGCGGTGATATTTTGAGGCCTAAAGCGGACGAAGAGTGCAGCAATCTAACCTCCATGTAGCGTTGAGACAAACAAGATGTTGTCACCGCTCTGGATCTCATAGGCCTCCTCACCTTCGAGCTCCCAGTCTGCATCATTGATCAGAACCAGGATGCCTGGTCGACTGATTGCCACCCCTATTAGCGACAAAGACACGCAAATGAGGTAGGAGATGAATTGAAGTGTTGTTCAAACCAATACGGCCGTGGCCATGGTCAAGGGGAGTGTGTATAGTGATACGAAGACATGAACGGAGATAGAGAGCAATGTAGCCAAGACGTACAGGTGGTTGTCTAGAACAAAAAGATCTTTGCGAGAATCATCCATGACGTTCTGACATAGATGGCCGATCAGATACGCAATATCAACGGGTTTCCCGTCCGGGTCTGCCGCGGGAATGGCCAGAGCATGCTGCCTCTTGTTGGAGAAGAGCATCTCCAGGCCGCCACTGCAGTGCCACAATGTTAGCCCAGTGAACAGAATGGCCAGGAAAAAGCAAAGGGATCGAAGAAAGTGCAGAGAAGAGACTCGCTGGAAGCGAGGATCCAGGCACAAGCGTGGTTCATGTGGACACTCCCGCCAGGAGAAAATTTGATGGCGCAGAAGGGGGTGGGCTCGAGTCTGAGTCTGATTCTGAGTCAAGACCGTGCAAGCGGGAGCTGATAGATCATATAATACACGCAAGATGAAAATCTTGGAGAAACGACTTACGAGAATTCGACGTCGATGTTGAGCTTGGGGCCCGATGTCGACTCGGCCATTGTGACAGAGATGTGCAAGTTGAAGTCAAGTGACGATCTGGGAGCGTGATCCTGATGCTACTGCTGCCAACTGATCGTGACTTTGCTTTTGCAGTAGTGGGTAAAAGGTGGTCCCGAGGTAGTGGTTGGCAGTAGTGAAACTGTGTCTAAGGTATCCAAGAGACGTGGTGTAAGAGGCTGACGATGAATTACCCTTCTACAATGGAAACGCTAGATTCTCAGTTCGGCAGAGAAAACAAGATGAGTGAACAAACGGAGATAATCGTGTCGCGACGAAGAATGCTGCCACTGGTGTCTCTGTAACAATAACCCCGTGACCTTTGGTAGAAGCAGTTGACATTAATTTGCTTTTCTTGTGTTGGCGTTTGAAGCCACCTGCAAGCGTAAATCGAATGACATAAGCACACCCGTCCAAAAATCTCAGAAGGACGTCTCTACAGCCAATCAGAAGTCAAGAAGCACACACTTTTCAGACTCATCCTTACAACCTCTAAAAATAACGACTTCAGTCAGAGACGACGAAAGGCGAGATAGGGACAACAATGGGCTCAAGACCCGTCTCCATCGAATATCTCTCCTCGGGCGCCAACCGGCAGACCGCTGTTGCAGACTGGAGTCAATGTGGGATTTTGGCTTTTGGAGCCGATATTAACATTGCGTTATGGCGACCTTTGGTTAGTATTCGAGCCACCTTGCTGCTTTAATGTCAATATACCCTGATTTGCGCTTCTTTCTGGCAGACCATCTAGGTGTCTTGATACTAACATATGTGAAGTCGGAATCTCCCCAGGGAGTCACAAAGCTGCTCAATGGGCACAAGAGCACTGTCAAGGCCTTGACGTTTCTCTCCGAAGGAGACCAGGACGAAAACTCGTTTCTCGTTTCTGGCTCAGACGACAAGACCGTGATCATCTGGAAAGCATCTCGCAACAGGGATGAATTCAAGCCCATCCATACCTCAACCGAGCACACTGCTGCCATCAACTGTATCGCTGCCTTGAGGATCAAGGGGGCCCAGAAATGGATTATCGCAACTGGAAGTGCAGATGCCTCCATAAAAATATGGAACCTCGAGAATGACCAGTTCACTCTACTCCAAAGCGTCAAGACAACACCCAAATACTTCCCCATGTGCCTATCACTCAGCTACGCTGGAGACGAAGACGATGTTTTGGTGCTGGCATCCGCTGGTACAAGAGACATAGTGCAGATTTTTACAGCTGAGGTTAAGTCAGAAAATGTTCAGTTCAATGTGCAAGCCACTTTGACAGGACATGAGGGTTGGATACGGAGCTTGAGCTTCGCCAAAGAGACATGTGCCCCTGACAGTGATCTGTTACTCGCCTCAGCGAGCCAGGATAAATACATCCGTATCTGGAGATTCCACCAGGGGAGGGAGCTGCCCGCTGCTGCTGCCAGTGGTTCGGACCCTTCCAGTGACGCATACCTCCCCGGAAAGTCACCATCCAACAAGGCACATCGTCTTCAGTCCGCCGGCAAGGACTTCTCTGTTACTTTCGAAGCACTTCTTTTGGGCCACGAGGACTGGATATACAGTGCACGCTGGAAACGACAGGATAACGACAAGCTACAGCTGCTCTCGACATCGGCCGATAACTCGCTCGCCATCTGGGAAGCTGACTCTGGCTCTGGAATCTGGGTCAGCATGGCGAGACTTGGTGAGATTAGCAGAGAGAAGGGTGCAACAACAGCAACTGGAAGCACAGGCGGATTTTGGACTGGCTTGTGGTCTCCCGATGGTAAATCAGTAGCCTGCCTCGGCCGTACTGGTAGCTGGAGACGATGGGAATATGTCCCCGCGGAAGACTTTTGGCAGCCATGTGTTGCTATTTCTGGGCATACCAGAGCTGTTACAGGTATAACATGGGCCAAGAATGGTGAGTATCTCTTGTCAACAAGCTCTGACCAAACCACACGACTGCATACACGCTGGGACAGACCGGGGAATGAGACATGGCATGAAATGTCCCGGCCTCAGATTCACGGCTATGATCTTAACTGTATTGACTCTGTGGGAACTTCTCAATTCGTCTCAGGGGCAGATGAGAAACTCATGCGTGTCTTTAGCGAACCCAAAGCTGTTGCCTCGATGCTCAACCGCCTTGCAGGCATCGGTGGTGGTATGGATGTTCAGAACATGCCAGATGCCGCCAACATGCCAGTCCTAGGACTATCTAACAAGGCAATTGATGCCGTGGAAGACGACCAAGAAATTCAGCCCATCGATGACCGGGATCGTGAGGCCATGGATCCAGCCTCGATAGTCAAAAAGTCGCATTTGGAGATCGATCACCCTCCTTTTGAGGAGACACTCTCAAGACATACCTTATGGCCGGAAACCGAGAAGCTGTACGGACACGGTTACGAGATTTCTTGTCTCGCAGCTAGCCACGATGGCACTCTCGTCGCCAGTGCATGCAAAGCCAGCTCGACCAACCACGCCGTAATTCGCCTATTCGAGACAAATCGTTGGACTGAGCTCAGGCCGCCTCTGACCGCACACTCTCTAACAGCCACCCGCCTTCGATTCTCCTCTGACGACCAGTTCCTCCTGAGTGTAGGACGCGATCGCCAATGGGCGGTCTTTGAGCGTGCGCCTGAGGATGAAGCTGCGTACAAGCTGCTGCAGATCAACCCCAAGGGTCACACACGTATGGTACTTGACGCAGCGTGGGCGCCTGCGTCGTCTGGGGCACCAGTATTCGCAACTGCTGGCCGTGACAAGCAAGTGCGCATTTGGGCCGCGAAGCCAAACGAAGATGGAAAGCTTCAGTTCTCTCAGACAGCCTCCATCCCGACTGCATCCCCTGTGACATCGGTCGATTTTGTCCCTCAGGTTCTTGACGCTAGATTTATCTTGGCAGTTGGCACAGAACTTGGCCGACTAAGTCTTTGCCTGATCAAGGAGGATGGAACTGATGCCATTGAGAAGCCCGCATATGAGGAGTGAGTGCTTGTAAACCACCGATATAAAAGAACCAACTGCTAACATTACCTCTAGTTACTGTTTGCCCAAGGCTGTTCACCAGCTTGCTTGGCGTCCTGTCGTACGAGAGGGGGCTGAGAGGCCATTTGAAGTGGCAGTTGCAGGAGAGGATAGTTCACTCAGAGTATATGCCTTCAGCCAGGCGTATCTTCAGGTGTCTGCAGACCCATAGAACCAAAAGTTATGATTACGAGTTACCAGAAATTTCCTTCACACCGAGGGCAGAGGTTTGCTCATCTTTGTACAGACCGAGCAGTGGGATCAACAGTAGGATTGTTGAGTAAAAGTGTATTATCATTACAGCCATCTATTGGCTAAAGTTTTGTAGATCCATATCCATTATATCGTATACCAGATGAAACTCGAGCCATCTCTCACGGCCCTTTGGCCAAAGACCGGCTCTTACGACTCATTTATGCAGAGCCTCCTCATTACGAAGCCATTTATGTGCCAATGTCCAGCATGTATGCATTTCCAGGATTTCGCGTAAGCAATCCAGAGCTGGATTTTATAGTTCTCTCACAACCGTTTCGACTGTCTCCTTGGTAACATCTACGACGCTTGCAGTTGTCCCGGACAGCGCGCTCGCAGACATATCTTTAACAGCTTCCTGTACCACCTCGGCAACATCAATGTGCTCTCCATTGATATAGTACCAGGCGCGACCGACAAGGAAAGAAATGTGATGCGGGAGGTAAAGACAGGCGGCGATGAAGGTCAAGCTGAAGAGCAGAAAAACAATGGAGCCTAGTGCGGTGAATTAGTCTTCAGAAAACGACAACTTGAAACGTATGGGATTGCGGATAACATACTGAAAAAGAACTTCTCCCAGGGCGTGAACATGTACACACTGAAAGTGACCTCCAGCTGGTATTGCTTGAGGCTCAACCACTTGCGAAATGATCCAAGAACGGCCATTGTATCGAGTTGAAGGGTCAAAATACGTGTTTGAATCGCAGATATCGGTAGCCGTCGTCGTAGAATTGCCGTGTGCTGAAATGAATGACTTGAAGTGGTAGGTTCAGGGGAAAAGGTTGAAGCAATGGAGAATACAGGATTAGGATAAGGATAAGGACCAGGGAAAGGCCGGCTCTCCTTTATCTGGGCTCCTTGTGCCTTTATCGTACCGACGCTCCCGAAAATTGGGTACCGGAGGCACCGCAGCGAAGTGCTAAGGCTTCGATGTATTGAAACTTACAGGGGGTGCGGGTCTCTAATTTACTGGATCACCATCTCGCTGTGGCTGCTGATACGCACGCGACTGGCTCGTGGCTGTGACTGTGACTGTGGCTTCCTGGTGGCACAGGAAGCCCAAATCAGCATCGACCACAGTGCTTAATCTTCATCTTATAATCTGAATTACGACTCTAGTTCACGACCTTGCCACAAAACATCTGATGTTCTGGTTGAATGTCTGCATTCAATGGCATCGTAATGATGCCGCTCAAACTCATCCGAACCATCCGCTACAGCACTCCCCCAGCACTTCCAATACGGACCTTTCACAATGCATCTATCTGCCTGGCGAAAGCTCTCCCTCCTCGGCCGAAGCCCCCGCCTGAGTCTGAGATCGAAGAGTCCTATGTCAAAGGCAGCGGTCCTGGCGGACAAAAGATTGTACGCATACTCTTTTTCTAGCTCCCCAGCTCTTGATCACGGTCCTAGGAAGTTCTTCCAGCTTACGCAGTTGTTACACTAGAATAAAACCAATTCCGCAGTTCAGCTGAAGCACATACCCACTGGCATCGTCGTCAAGTCTCAGGCAACCCGTTCGAGAGACCAGAACCGGAAGCATGCACGTGAATTACTCGCGCAACGTGTTGATGAACTTCGCAACGGGGATCAGAGTCGATCGGCTATTGTCGGCAAGGTAAAGCAAAAGAAAGCTGCAAGTGCTTCGAAAAAGAGTCGTAGGAAGTACAAGAAACTCGAGGAAGAGAGGGTCGCTACGGCTGCTGAAGTTGAAGCGCAGTCAGACACAACTCGCGCTTCTGCAGAGGGGCATGATCCAACCACAGACGACGCAAACAATTACCAGACTTCTCAACCCCTAGACACCACAAGTAAAGCGCCGTAATCAATGCTCTTCGGAAGCACTTGTGAGAATTAATTACGATACCATGTATGTGGACATACTTAATGTACGCAAGGGACCAGACATCATGTCATCACCTCGTTTCATTTCAAAAAATTCTAAGCGGAAAGTAAAAAAGTATTTGTATGTCAACCTCGGCTTCTACCCCTAGGCACGCATTACACGCGCAACTACAACAAAGGGGCCATCACATCTCTTCGTAAGCGCAACGCCCACCCTTCTGACCATGTCAAAAACTTTTCGTAAATATGAGAGTCGACTTGGACGTTTGCCAACCACCCAAAGCTTAGTGTCTGTCGCCACCTCCATGATCTTATCGTCGTTGCGCGAGCGGGAGGATTTGGTTTGTCGGTCGGGTAGCTTAGTAAGTTAGCGAGAATCCTCCCAGTCACCAGGAGCTTGGCATACCTTAGAAGCACTTGCGGTGAACGATTGAGGGACCGCTCTCGTCGTACTCCTGCTTGGAGATCCACATTTGCTGGAAAGTGGACAGGGAAGCAAGAATGGAACCACCGATCCAGACGGAGTACTTTCGCTCGGGAGGAGCAATGATCTTGACCTTCATGGAAGAAGGAGCAAGGGCAGTGATCTCCTTCTGCATACGGTCGGAGAGACCAGGGTACATGGTGGTACCACCAGACTGAATCAAGGTTAGAACAATTCCGGACAGCTCATTCTCACAAAACTTACCATGACAATGTTACCGTAGAGATCCTTTCGGACATCGACATCACACTTCATGATCGAGTTGAAGGTGGTGACGTGGATACCGCCGCTCTCAAGACCAAGGACAGAAGGCTGGAAGAGAGCCTCAGGAGCACGGAATCGCTCGTTACCAATAGTAATGACCTGACCATCGGGAAGCTCGTAGGACTTCTCCAGGCTGGAGCTCTGGGCGGCAGTCTGGATCTCCTGCTCGAAGTCGAGGGCGACGTAGCAAAGCTTCTCCTTGATGTCACGGACGATTTCTCGCTCGGCGGTGGTGGAGAAAGTGTAACCGCGCTCAGCAAGAATCTTCATGAGGTAGTCGGTAAGATCACGACCAGCCATGTCGACACGGGCAATGGCGTGGGGAAGGGCGAAACCCTCGTAAATGGGGACAACGTGAGTGACACCATCACCAGAGTCCAGAACGATACCAGTGGTACGACCAGAGGCGTACAGAGACAAAACGGCCTGGATAGAGACGTAGAAAGCTGGGGCGTTAAATGTCTCGAAGACAATCTGGGTCATCTTCTCACGGTTGGACTTGGGGTTGATGGGAGCCTCGGTGAGCAGGACGGGGTGCTCCTCGGGGGCGACACGCAGCTCGTTGTAGAAGGTGTGATGCCAAATCTTCTCCATGTCGTCCCAGTTGGTGACAACACCGTGCTCAATGGGGTATCGCAGAGTGAGGATACCACGCTTGGACTGAGCCTCATCACCAACATACGAGTCCTTCTGACCCATACCAATCATGATACTGAGAACTTGTCAGTGGCCAGCCCCAGGAAGGCGGCAGAATTGCCGCTATAGCTACAACTTACCCATGATGACGGGGGCGACCGACAATGGAAGCTGTTTACAACGTTAGATTTGGGTTTCTGGTTAACTTGCGCCCAGGACATGCGATATCAATTCTTTGGGCGCAGAGGCTAGAAAGTGGGGTACTCACGGAAAACAGCTCGGGGAGCATCATCACCGGCGAAACCGGCCTTGCACATACCCGAACTGATATCAAGTTAGCTACATGGACATGCTGGGATCGCTCAGCACCAATTCAAAGACCAAGCACTCCCAAGCATCAATGTCGAGGCCGGTGTCGGGCATCGGACGATGCGGTGGCAGATCTGGTCCAGGAGCAGAGAGGCGGGGAGAGATAGTCCAGAGGTCGGTGAGACAGGCGGGGGAGCTTACCCATTGTCGATGACGAGAGCAGCAACTTCTTCTATAAAGCGGAATGCAAGTCAGCATGAGTCTGGAGATGATCTTCGCGATGCTCAAAACGGATTGTTTAGATCCGACGATGCAGCGACGCGGTATGATGCGACGTACCCTCCATGGCTGTGGATTACGGTGTGTGTATGAGAAAGCTGTCCAGAAACGGGATTAGCGGCCAAGAATCAAAGAAGAAAAGACGAAGAGCTATTAAAGAAAAGAGACGAAAGATGTAGTAATCAGTAGGTGGAAGAGCAAGCTTACAGGAAAAGAGACGTTGAATGGAGAAGGAGACGGAGGTCGGGGGTTAGAAGAGTTGAAGAGAAGTAGTTTGGAATGGAATGGGAGAGGGAAAGAGACGGAGGCGGGAGAATGGGGGAGGGGGAAAGGAGACAAGTATCGCCGGGCGACGCTGTCACAAGAAAGTTGTGGGCGGGCCCCGAATTGCTGAGGTGGACACTTTGGGGACAAGGGGGGGGGCAACCTGAAGAGACCGCCTACCAGAATTGGGTAGGGAAACGGAGCAGACGAGGCACAGTCTAGAGCAGGAGCGAGAGCTGCACTCTTGCTAAGGGGGAAAATAGAGGCGGGCTAGGCGGGGCAACCAGAAAAACAGGTCTTTCCAAGCTGCTTGCCGCTTTACTGATTGGTTCGTGGTGGTCGTAGTGCAGAGAAGGATGCCCTGAGAGCAACTTTGTCCCAGTGGTTGCAGAGCAGCGGTCGCAGTGGAATGGTTATAGCGGTGGCTGAGGTGGAGAGCTTACCTACAAAAGTAAAAGAGGTTCGTGATCGCCAATTCCTTGGAGAATTGATATTGAGGCAAGTGGTCGTGATTCAAGGTCAGAATATCTAGTGATTCCTTCGGATCAGGTAGTGATTTTCTGTCAAGCTCTAGACATTTGCAAGCAGGTCCCGACTCAGTAAAACGGCCGCTTCACCGTCCTGACTTTATCCTTTCTGTACAAGGTGACGTCGTAAGCAGAACTTCATCCACCGCCACGCGAGCTGGCGAAGACGTCAGCTAGGGAACTTTCTAATGCTGCAGCCTCTGAGGCTTCCTTTTATTTCTCTTGGCAAAGTGTGTGAACGTCTCAGCTGAGGACTCGTTCTTCAGAGTGGCATTCTACTAGACATCATTGACTTGAAAATAATATGCCAGCCTAGTAGGTATCCCAGGCATCTTTGTATCATCGAGAAGGTCTACGCAAATAGCTCCTGTTCAGGTCAGCCCCAGCCACACATAGCTCAGAGATGCTGTCCAATCTTCATTCCAGGGTGAGGCCCATCCATAAACGGAATGTCTATCTGCAGGATCTCATCATCCAGAACGACCAACAACCATCCCAAGGCTTCCAAGGACTTGGGTTTTGTAACTGAAAAGGGGCTGTTATCTCCATGCCAAATCTCCAGATGCTCCGCAGATTGGAACCGGTACCCAGCTTCCAGGTCCCGAGTTCCACTCCATAATTAGCACAAGTGGCTAATCGAGCAATGTACCTCCTCGTTCAGGGCAGAGTTACGCGGAGAGAGCTTTTGTATTGAAGAAGTTTCTTGCTGACCAACCATACCAAATACGCGTTAGGGCCTGTTTCGTTTACTGAAGAGACAGGACTCACCCGTTCATTCCGACTGGTCTGCCCTGGTAAGGTAGGTAGGGATTTGTAGTTGGCAGCGAGAACCTCCTCGATATCACGCAGCCGTATCATCTGCTTCACTATAGAGACTTCTTCGACAAATCAGGACGTGATGCTGAACGTTACTATGTATTGAGAGACAAGTTTATGTTCCATCGAGTCCATATCTTGTTCGCTATCGTGAGTGTGGTTCATATTAGCAGCCTAATTTCAACACCGCTTCATGAGCACCCCTAAACCACGAGGCTGTCAAATATTGGCTTCACAATCAATAGATCTCCTAAACTCTGAATTAGACCCCTGTATCTCGCCCCTGCCCAGCCCAGCCGGGGAAACCCACCAGCGGGAGCAGTCGGCCAGTAGCAAGGCTGTGAGAATGAATGCCTTCGCTTACTTACCTACGAACAGCGGGATCTCCGGCGCCTCTCGAAGATGCGAAATGCGTCCACTGACTAGGCTCCATTAGTTCGAACATGGGACTTTAGACTTCAGTATTATGGTAGCCTTGCGGCCAGGCTCCTGCAAGTGTCATGCAACGCAATACACGCGCGTTCAACCAGCCACAATGCCTTCTGGTCAATCATGCTGTTTGGTGTGGTATCTGACACAGAATCCTTTCTTAGCCTTTTTCGCTCTCGCTTTAAGCTCATTCTCCCGTCTCGGCCACAAAAGCAGCGATGAGGGGCAACCTTGCAAGGTGGGGCAGGTTTGCTGAGCTGGAGGGGAGCTATGATGAAATAATTCTCTGCCACGTAGAACTGTTGTCAGTTGAATTGCGGTGTCTATCCCCAGCAGAAGCTTGGTACTACTATGTTGTTTGACTCAAACGCATGTACAAGTCATCATAAGGCACTGATTGGGCTGCAATGTATCCTTATCGAACTGCGAGAAAATAATTGGTCGGTTGATGGAGAATTGGTATTCTTTGTATCTGTCTTGAGCTAGACCGTTTCTGGATTAGAGTCTTCTTGAAGATTCCAGAAATGGGCAAATTCTAATCGATATGCTTGGTAAAGTTGAAAATTGAAAGCAAATATCAAAAGATTGATGTTTTTTGTTCTTACTCCTTCAACAAACTCAGCTCAAACAACATATCAAGAAACACACTACAAAAATAAGGAGACATGGATGACAAGCGACTTAACGAACTCCTCAAATGGAGTATTGAGCAATCAGATGCCACCAGAAATGACCCTGATGCCCCAGCTCCCACCACACAACTCACACCAGAACTCATGGCATCGCTCATGGGCGGTCCCTCTGACGCCGACCTTATGAGGGCCTCTATGGATATAATCACATCGGACGATGCTGAGCAGGTCTCTCTTGACGACAAACTCATCGCCTTTGACAACTTTGAGCAACTTATCGAGGGACTCGACAATGCAAACAATATCGCAAATCTCAGCCTGTGGACCCCACTACTCGACCAGCTCAAGCATGACGAGCGAGAGATGCGCAAGATGGCAGCCTGGTGTGTGGGAACCGCTGTACAGAACAACGAGCGCACCCAGGAGCGTTTGCTCGCTATGGGAGGGCTTCCGCTACTTGTAAACCTAGCGACCCAGGAGGATGAGCATAACGATGTTCGTCGCAAGGCTGTATATGCGCTGAGCTCAGCGGTGCGCAATTACCAACCAGCGATGGACCTCTTTGCCGATGAGTTGACCAAGAGGGGTCACAAGACTGACAAGGTCGATGCCACAAGCATGGAGGCTGTCGACGAGGTGGTCAACGGATTACGCGAGAAGATCGGCAAGGCTTGAGAAACTTTGGTGGGATCAAACATCAAAACATAACGAACGGTTGCATTGGGACGGAGTTGGGGCGTTGGGCTGAAGCACAGGGCGTGGGCAAGAGAGATGAAGACCCCGGAGGGTACTAAAATAGAATGGTATAGGCAATCTGCCCTGAATTTTAAATATTCATTTATGATACATTCGTCTTGGTACATGAATCTATGCTACATGTCAACTACTTAGAGTTGACATTTGTTTCCAACGCCTTGCAACGACACCTACCGTAATTTAGTGCCTAGCCTTGCCATAGAAGGGAAGGCCGAGTGCCTCCAAAAGAAGACGGCCCTGCCTATCTGATGTACCAGTCGTCTTGATGAATATATCGCATCCAGGCATCAGTCGTGCAGGGTACATCTACTCATGATTAGCTCACCCTTGTCTTGATTAGTGTATAAGCACTCACGTCGTAGTTGAACTCGATTTCAGGAAAGTATGCCATCCAGTCGGGCTTCATACCGAACGCCAGGTTGCCTGCACTATCGCCAGTAGTAGCATCAATACCAGGCCAGTCCTTGATCTTAGGCAAGACCAGAGTAATGAGCTTATCAAGGAAGTCGTAAGCTTGAGCACCTTTCAGCGTCACTTTGCAGCCAGTCTTGTCACCCTTCCTGACACCCCACTGAACAACGCCATGCTTGACTCTTGTGACCTCAGGGAAGGCACCAGAGATGGCTTGGATAACAGCACGGCACACGTGCAGGTACTCCTTGTTCTGGGCACCCATGGGAGCGAATGAGTTGATAGTGATAGCCTCGATATCAGGTACGTTGTGCCATTCAATTGGGCGCTCCACTAAGCCTAGCCTTGAAGAGCCACCACCTCGAGGTCCTCGGCGAGGTCGATTCTTGTGGTAAGGCGAAGACTCGTCCCATTCCCTCAAGTTACCCTTGTTGGAAACAGGAACTTCTGAACCTGGCGGGGTATGCTGATATGTCATGGCGATCAGATCTGGCGCAATCGTGCTTTCGTATGTGTGCTTTAATCGAGGGAAGCTGAAAGGACCGGGAACGAAGTCTCGAGCAGTCGGATCGGAGGACTTGGGTACCTGAACGGGGTGTAGAGGACCACGGTAGTATTTGGGAGGATGGTATTGGTATCTATAGCAAGTCAATCAACTCGAGCTCAGTCAAGGGAGCAATTGGGCTACGGACCTATTGCCGGGAAGTTTTTTGCCCGTCTCTGCAGCTTTTTCTCTAGAATTGAAGGCCTGGATAGCCGCTTCGTCGGGAGAACCTGTCGCAAAAGACGAAGCATTGTCAAGATCTGCGAGAGCGGAGGACTTCTTTGCCTCGGTCGAGACAAAGCGCTGCACACAAACGGAACCTGTCCTCAGAGGCAGATGCCTTCGTCCCAATGAGCTCGCCATGCGAGCTCCTTCTCGTACCGTGGTCATCATGGGCTCGTAGATTGGAGTTCCTCGTCGTCGAAAAGATGTGTGGTCGTCGCGTGGATTTGGAAATTTCCATCTAAGCGGCTAGCGCTTGGCTGCGCCACATGAGGTACCTATCAGAAATTGTGGCTGTACTCTTACACCGTACATCGTTTGAGGAATGCCTGGGTAAGGTAAGTAAATTCATGTTTATTTAAGACTTGTGATAAATCTCATTACTGAATCGAAACCTGGTCCTCTTGATTCCCCTTCTCCTGTTACCGAAAGCGTAATATCAATACTCATTTCAAGATCTGTGGCCAGAGTTGCAATCTTACGGATTTCATTGTCAACATAGGTACTCTCTATTAATTCTCATTTTCCTACATACCCAAGTATGTTTAGAAGTAAAAGAAGATCGTCCTATACAAATTACCTTACTCTGAATACGTAAGCTTGGTAATTGAGCCTGCTCTCTTTGAGCTAGCTTTTATTATCTGATTGCTCAGTCCTGAGCATCTCACCCCTTCCGAAGCACTCCGATCACCCCTCCATTACCCAGGTCTAAAAACCAGGTCTAGTATTAGTAGTCCAAGAGAGCATAATTACGATGCCACCAATAGTCTTGTCCTTGAGTAAATGGACGATATCGCTTTGCCCGAGTCCTTTTCCTTTTTACACCAACGTTTATCGGTCTCGGACTATGCAACAGTCCGACGACGTACTTCAGTATTTCAGGTAGATGCCTTAAAACATGGAGCAAAGTCAGCGGACCCGAAAAGCTGGATGCGGGATGCCCGTGGTCCCGTCGACCCGGTTTATCTCCGTCCTTCTCGAGAGCAAGGACCGATCTGGCGACCGAGTTCAGATACAGGTAGGTGGCTTTCCCAATGGACCAGGTTTTTAACGGGCGGCCCGAAAGCATCAACAACCATACGTTGTCGGACAAACATGGGGTACTTAACATCCGACACAGTGGTCGATCTAACTGCTGGAGTAGATGTTCAGAGGAGCGGTCTAGTAATCTTTAAGGCCTATACGTCACGATCAAAGATTTACAGGCATTGTCAGGCAATGCCTAGATCAGGCTCCCCGGGCCACCAGGAACTCGTCTGGTTGTGGTTAATGATACGCAGCACCAGACCGAAGAGCCTTCAGTTTCCTAGAGGGACCTTTGGTTCATTTGGCGCAGGGACTAATTGCATACGTATTCAGATACGAATGAGAGATCCAATTTCGATCGAATGCGTCTACCTAGGTATTTAGCTGTGCCTGACATACTCACACGCCTGCATAGTCCGCTTTTCTTAGGTCACCAGTTCTGTTGTGCCTGTAGCCCTGATGTGAGTGCATCATCTCAGCCTAAAGTCTATAGAGCCAGACGGACGATTATAGAAGGGCTGACGGTGTGACGAAGTGCAGTAAGATGACGATCATGGTAACAATGGCAATGCAAAGCCACCGAATGATGCAGAGTATCTCCCTTTTGGAGCTGTTACAAAATGTGTTTTGGTGGAACTGTTGTGTTACAATAATTCTGGCTGAGTTTAGCCAAGGTAGAATCGAGTGGGTTAGGTGATTTAGAGAATAAGATTACAGAACCTACTACACATGTACAATGATGCTGTGGCCAAAATACCTAGGGTCCATCAGGAGAAGGGGAGCTGATGCACAGACGAGTGTTCCATCACACATGATAACACGTGTGAATGTTAGAGCTGAGTTGGCCAGGCTTCAGTAATTTGTAAATCACTTGACTTTTTCATAATCTATTTGCCAACTTCCTCGTTGGCTTAGCTCGCCCTGCAAAGCCGCCGTTTTTGTCCTTGTTATTGCGCGGAAATTGGCTAGGATCGGCTCCATTGATTACCGGCCTGGAATGGAAAAACAGAAAGGATATCAGCGCCGTTGAACTGGTCACACTAGCCAATGAAGTGTAATGTTGAAGTGTACCTACCTTAGTTGTTCGAGGCAATTGAATAATACCTACTAAGCTACAAACCCTTTTGCCCACTTTTTTGTTCCATAGGTAGACAAAAGGCAGGGAAGAAAAAGTAAACCTCCTTACTAAGTACCTTACCGACGGGAGTGACAGGATTGACAGGGCACAGGGGTCCTGCAACTGTTACCTTAAACCTTACCTCAGAGGCTGTCCCACCCCCGCCACTATCAACCTAGGTGCCTATCCTTCTATTTTAGTACGATAACCTTCAGGTCACCCCCTCTAGCCCCTCAACAAGAGCTCCCGTGGGCTGTTTGGCCATTGAGACTTGCGCTCCGACGCCCGACTTGCCTTGCTGATCACTCAGTCTCGGCCTTTTTTTTCAAGTACACAAGTCCCTCCAACTGAAGGATATCTTTCAGCTTCCTCACTTTTTCTCTTGCTCCTACTAGCTGAAAACCCCTCTCTCTTCTTAAAGCTTGAAACACTTGCTTTGTGTTTTCTTCCTCCATCGATTCCTTCGCTTGTCGAACACTTGAAAGCCGTAAACCGAACAATTCCATCTCACCCATCGCGCGTCGCACTCGAGCCACTTCCCGACCCTTCCCAAACAACGGATGCGCCCCCGATAATGAAGACTTGTGGCTTGTTTCTCCCTCGTTGAACCTGACGAGTCCCTCTCTTACTTTTGATCGATAAATTCGTCTCTCCCTTGCTATTCAAACACCATGAAGGAGTTTCCCAGAAAGTTTCTCAGCAAGCGCGAAAAGAATGGCCGGCGATCCAAGTCGGCTACACCAGCGCCAGTTGTCCCAACGGTTCCTGACAGCGCTAGCAACAAAAACAAGGTACGTTATTGCCTGGATGGGAATTCTTTGATGGGCGGTCTATGGAAATGCATCCAGCAACGAGCTTGTTATAGTCCAAGATGGAGTATTCTGACAAACAACTGTCCAGCCTCGACCACTCTCCGCTGGGGCTTTCATGGCCTTGTTCAAAAACGACAGCGCAAAACAGGGAGCAAAAGCAGAAGCAGAGAAAGAGAAGGATACCGCACAAGTACGATTCCAATCACAGCATGAAGGATCGTGTCATTAACTTTGCCTTCTATTAGATCGAGGACATTTTACGCCGACTAGACGAGCTCAACATAACCAATGTCACCGCCGACCATGTTACCGACATCATGGCAACCAAGTTTGCAGACCACGACCCCAATAAGACCGTTGAGTTTATCGATATGGAGCAAAAGGCTGCAGCGGGTATCATTGTCCCATATGATCCCAGCGTGGATATGGTGGGTGCCGAGAACCGTGGCAATGTGACTTGCTATCTTGATGCACTTCTGTTCTCAATGTTCGCCAAAATTGATGCTTTCGAGTGTATGCTCAAGAATGATTTCCCAGAAGAAGACAATCGCAACAAACTCGTCAATCTTTTGCGGATGTGGGTAAATATGTTGAGGACGGGGAAATTAGTGCATACGGATATGGTGAGTGGCATAGGCACGATTTCAGTGATGTTCAAACTAACATTTGAACAGACCAAGTTAATACAGGACGCTCTGGCTGACTGTGGATGGTCGGATGCACGGATGCTTGAACAGCAAGACACTTCGGAGGCTTTTGCTTTCATAACAGAAACTTTACAGCTACCTCTACTTTCACTGCAAGTCGATCTCTTCCACCAAGGCAAGAAGGACAAGGACGACCACAAGGTTGTTTACGAGCGTCTCCTGAATCTGGCTGTACCGCCAGATCCTGAGGAGAAGGGTCTGAAATTAGAAGACTGCCTCGAAGAATACTTCAACGCCCAGGTAGACGTTAAGCGAGATAGCGAAGACGGGAAGAAGCTCGGGGTAGAAGAGAAGAGTCGAAGTGAGACACCGACACTCAAGCATAGGGATACAATTCGCATCATCACTGAAGAACGCGGCGAAGCATCAACACCAACATCCCCTTTGGTAAATACACCATTGGAGATAACGCCAACTTCGGAAAAGGGTGTTCCTCTTCTGCTGGCAGATCCCAATGTCAAGGACGGGAGCACTCCTGATGATGAAGAAGAGGGAGAGGTTACGACTGTGGAAATAGTGAAGAACAAGCCAAGCATGCGAACGAGGTCAACCAGCGTTATCCAGCGCGTAGTGTTGGATGAAGACGGTCGCCCCTCTACCCCAGACAATGTCACAATGCTTCAAAAGGCTATGAGGAAAGGCTCGACAGTTGTGAAAGCAGTTACTATTCCAGCCTGGCAGTTTTTTCGTCTAATTCGTAAGTTTGCGCCACCTCATTGAGCCCAGTATGAATATTAATATATAGTTCAGCTTGGCATGCGCTTTCAAGCAGTGAGCCCAGAAATAATACGGAGGTCGCATTGAACTTTGAGCAAAGGCCTGTTGTTGGCATCTGTCTCAAGCGTTACGCCATGACTGAGTCCGGCCAGCCGAAACGTCACAATACCTTTATCGACATTCCCGATAGTCTGAGACTACCCCATTTCATGCTAGCCGATGAACCCAAGGCCGAGGAAGATATGAACGTTCTGAACACGGACTATAAGCTCGTCCTACAGTCCGTCATCTGCCACCGGGGCGACTCGCTACAAAGTGGCCATTATGTTTCGTTCGCCCGAGTGGCCCCTAAGTTATTGAAAGACAATAGACGGCATAATTTCGACCCCCCACCGGATTACGAGGAAGCACAATGGGTTAAATTCGATGACCTCCAGATCGAAAACCGAGTCAGTTATGTGGAAGATATCAGGTCAGCATTGAAGGAGGAAATGCCTTATCTTCTGTTCTATCAGGTTATGCCGATGGTCGAAGTCTCGCCTCCATCTGTGGATGAGACAGAGACAGAACCGCCCTCCTACAATGATTCGAAAATTAGCATTGAATTGCCTCCTACTCCTTCACGAAGCAACCGATTGGGTAGTCTGGAGGAAGGCTATTTTGATAGTACACCGACCTTGGAAAACTCACAACTTTTGTCTAGTAAACCACCAAGTATTCGCCTCTCTATGGAGGGCGAAAGACCACGGAGAAGCGAAGATATCGATCGCAACCCGGGGTCTTTAGCTGGGGACTCGCGGCGTCCCAGCGCTATTTGGACCGATTCGACCATACATACCCCCAACTCCCACTCTCCAGCTGTCACGCCTAACGAAGAATCGACAGCATCTAGGTTATCACGCGCGGCATCTAGATTCACATTGGTTAACAGAAGTCGGCCCAGTAGCCAGAATGGAGAAAATCGCATTAGTTTCTCGATGAGCAGATTGGGCGGTCTCATGCGGCCTAGCAAAGAGCCTTTGACGGAGCCCAAAGATGAAGCCAATGGCATTGGCATGTCTTCTGCCAACTCCACGGGTGTCTTGACGGCAGAGATATCTAAAGAGTCAAAGGAATCAAAGGATGCCGTGGATGGAACAGAGCAACTCGCCGAACCAGAGCCCGAACAGCATCACCATCGTCACCATGGTCATAAACATGGACATAAGAGGGTCAAATCCAAAGACAAAGTAAAGAATAAGAGCGGCGACCAACCTGAACGAGAATGTACAGTGATGTAGCAGTCATCCTGTTACGTCATCCCGATAACCACGTTACGAGAGAGATTGCAATTAGATTATACTTCACATACTTACGGCCATTCTGGTGTTTGGACATACATAGCTATAGGAGTCTCGATTTACAAGGAAGAACTGGCACGGGATTAAACAGATGAACAGGGATGGGGTAACGCAGCGACTTTGTTGTTAGTATGAAGTTGGACAGCAGGTTACGCAGAGATGGTCTTGTGATGTTGGTGCCCTATGAAGACCTCCTTTATTTTCCCCGTATTGGTCTTGCGAAAGAAAAAAATGAACAGAACTTTGGTAATTAGCAAGGCGTTTTTGGGCGGTTGTGACAATTTGTTGTCGCAAGGCTAATTTTCGAAGTTTAGGGGGTACTTCGAACATGATACACGCATGTATGAGATAATGAGCACAAGAATCGGAGATGATACCGCACGCCGATGGCGAGAAAAGCCTTCATATTTGATTTTAGAGCCTCAAAATGTTTTCAGGTGACAAATATCCCGTGATAACGTCTACCATTTGTGCTGAAGGACATTGTGCGAAAAGCAGTCAAACAAATCCATGACCATTTCTCGCATATACCCCAGGAGAAGGCGAAAGACGTAGCTTCAAGTTGTCTATTTCCTTGTACACATATACATGAGCAGGGAGGCCATCTCTTCGTAGCTTGCCCTGATATTCACCAGCTCATCCAGACTCATCAACACGTCGAACTAAAACAACCGCAGCCGCCATGAGCGCCGAGATGAGGAGTTCGTTCAAAACTATTTAAAAACAAGAACAGTGCGATGACTGACTTTTCGTCCCTCCGTAATGTGCGTTGCAGGAAATTCATACACATGACCAGGACGATGCAAGTCCACAACAATAATATACACAGATACTCAACTTCCAAGCACATAGGGGTTGGACCGGGACCTAATGCTGGCCAGGCCACCTCCCTCGGGCCGGGAAGTCATGATATCACCAGAGACGAAGAGGACGACTAATAAGACATCGAGTGTGGTGAGAAGGGTTTGGGGTGAGGTCGAAACTTTGTCCTGGCCTGCTCACAGCTGAGCGATCATTAAGATATATCACTCATTTGAGCGGGGAGTGCCGCGTCGTCGCGGACTTTAGAGGAGTTTAAGCTCGGGGCTTAAAAGGGAATGTTAGGGGGAGGCTGGGAGCCAAGAGACTCCTGTTGCTCTTGGAGCTCCTCAGGGGCTGCCTCAATTGAGACACCCAACCCAATCTTGGCTTGATGCTAGAGTGGTTGTCAATACACGGTCGAATGGATGAGAATTAGGGCACAAACCGTGAAGTGATCAATGTCAGCAGCAAATGTCATCATAACGGGTGGTGCAACACGCTTTTCCAGAACGCAGCTAAGCTTGCCCTTAGAGTCCACCTGAGCCCGGAAAGTAGACATGCGGAAATCGTACTTGGCACCAATAGTGGTGACGCCCTCCTTCTGAAGGCCACCACCCATGAGGCCACCTGCAGAGGGAACGAGGCCGAGGCTCAAATCAACACCGGCCTGCACCTTGTCCGAGAGTCGTCGCCAGTAGGAGGTGTTAAGGGTGCCCATAGCAGCCTGGAGCTGAGCGGTAGCGATCCAGTCTGCGGACTTGTAGCGGGCAGCATAAGAGACAGCGCACTCGGGGCCTTGGGTAAGGGCAGGTCGCTGCCAGAGAGTTTCAAGACCTAGGGCGAGTTTGGGAGTAACAGACTGGAGGTAGCTTCCGATATAGATGCCAGTCACACCACCCTCAAGGTAAGAAGGGTTCAGCATCTTGAGGGATGCGCTGAAATCGTTGCCAGTATACTCGTGTTCGAACTGCGCCATATCCTGACCACCGGGAGAAATGGAGATCTGAGACTTGGATACAAACTTGTCGGACCATCTCCAGTTGAATCGACCGGAGAGAGAACCCTCGTTATCCAGATTACCTTGGCAAAAGACCTGTCGATGAATCAGCGACCTACTATGCAGAAATACCGTGGCTCATGGTATTTACCTTGCCTGTTCCGTACATCGCAGCAAATGTGTAGGGGTTAATACGCTCTCCCATGGCGAATTGGTGGGAAACCTGGAAGAGAGGAGCCATGCTAAAGATCTTTGTGAGATCGGCACGCATTCCGGTGAACATGTAATTGTTGAGGAAGACATCGCGCTGAACCTCCTTGGCAAGACTCTCGATAGTTCCTGGGTTGGAAAGGCCTAATTTGGCCCTTCGCTCGTTAAACGAGTTGAGGGCATCTCCTAAAACGCTAGCGATGGGATTGGAAAGCAGGGCCGTCTTGACGGGATCCAATGCGGCTGCGGAGGCCATTGTGACTGAGGTGCGCCGAAGCGAGGACGGGAAGAGGTCGGAAGAGGTGCGAACAAAGAGATAGTGGACAGCGACGGTGGACGATCAGCCAGCCCGAGCGAAATTTGGTGATGCGAAATTAGTGAAATAGAAGGACTTGTTAAAATACCCTCGAAAGCGATTGAATGCCGAGGCCTCTGAACGCCAGGATCGTGATGACGAGCGCAGTTGGATGGAGATGGAGAATAATTTTCATCTGGCTTGGACAGCTCTTGGGTGGGGAGCACGAGCCACCTATGATGCCGAGTCGGCTGTGGCGTCTCCAACTGTCCATCCCGAGAGATTGTGGCTAGTACAGCCTAACGCCCAAGGATAAGGTACCCTACAGCTGGAGGGGGATAAATCAAAGGAAAGTACGGATACCTACAGAAGCATCCCAGCTGTTCACTGTGTATCAGGTAGGCTGCGCCAGAAGCGGCGTTATCGTTATTCTGGTAGTGCAATGTACTGTATACTTTCCGGCGGGTTTATATCTCAGGGATTTAGGGTTCGCCTTGCATTCTTTACAACGCATATCTGAGATATGACGTCCCCTCTTTGTGGGTATAGATACTTCGGAGAGTACCTGCACCTGATCTCCAGCTCCCTCCCTGTGGCATAACTAGGTGCTACCTTATTCTTCAACACCAACCGATTGCTACTTTCTGCTCCTCGTTCCTCATGTTCACTTAGGTTGTCTCTATCGTGTTCACCTCAGACGCGAAATTTCCTTCTGATCAACCCAAGGCTCCATCGTAGTAGCATCAGACGACCGGCCTGTTCGCTTTTAAATATTGACCCCGCCGGTAAAGGCCGGCTTCTGCCACTAATTGTTTCTTGAGGCTCACCCTTGTTGAAGATCCATCACACTCAACGATCGAGGCTGTTGAGGGCTTCGCCAAAAACAAGGCGCGGCAGTCCTCCTCTTGTCGCTCTACCGCCAATAGAACTGTGTTTATCTGAACCCAACGAAAGCCTGAACTGTCTCTATACTCCCAAATTACCGCCAACTGTCCGTTTTGGCTCAGCCTCAGCAGAGTCTTCGGGTTCTCGAATTCGTCTTTCCTCTCAAAAATCTTGCCATACAAGCATCGTGTATAGGCATCGCCGACGAGAGACAAGATGGATACTCTTTTGTATGTTGCTATCCTTTCTCATCTCTTCTCTTCACTCGTTCCCCCCCGTGTCTAGATACCTAGGTAATTTCCTTATCTTTCAACTTCAAGTCGATACCATCTTCATTCCTAGAATCACGGAACCCTGTGATTTGGAGTGTTGCTTTATGTCGATCCCCATCTTTCTTAGAACCTTGGCCAAAGACAGATGTCTTTTTCGTTATTTGTTAAGCGATGAAGCTGATGTTGACAGAACCGCCGAGATTGCGGCCAATGCCCCTCGGTACCGTCGCAAGAGCTCTACATTTATTGATGCCATTCATGATATTCCTCATGGTCAAGACTTGGCCCCGGCTCAGCTATACAGCACCATGTCTGGCCGATTGTTTCACTCTGGCCGCATCGCAATTGTCATGGTTGGACCACCTGCACGTGGGAAAACGTAAGTTTAATGATTCTATGCCTGGTCCAAGTTAACAACCTCCAGACATATATGCGTTTCCATGGCACGTTATTTGGGGTGGCTTGGTGTGAAGTCTCGTATCTTTCACCTCGGCGACTACCGTCGAGCAACTGTTGGCCCCGATGGATCTATTCCCGATGATTATTTCTTCCCGAACGCGTCGCCTGCGTCTGTCATTCTCCGCCAGAAAATCCTGAAGAAATGCCGTGAAGACATATACTCCTGGCTGAATCACGACAACGGCCAGGTCGCCATTTACGATGCAGTAAACCCTACTGCTAATGGACGGCGTTCGCTAGCCAAGGAATTTGCGAAGCACGATGTTCAAGTAAGTCATCACCCCATCTTGTCGGGTCTCAGCAATCGCTGACGCAGTAGACTCTTTTCATCGAGTCCTTTGTCGATGATGAACGCATCCTTCGTGAGAATGCAAGAAATGTCAAGATCTCGTCCCCAGACGTGAGTACATACCATCTGCCTGATCCAACCATGACCAATGCTGAATGTTGACTGCAGTTCGCTGGTATGGAACCTGATGAAGCCGCTAAGCTATACCTTCAGAGAATTGAGATGAAGATTCCCGTATTTGAAACCATGAATGAGAAGGAATTGAACTACATCAAGATGATCAACGCCGGGGAAAAGTTCTTCTACAACAACGTCAGCTTCAATTATCTTGCTCACCGAATCGTCTTCTACCTCACCAACCTGCACATCAAATCACGGAAAACCTTCTTCGCCCGGGCTGGTACTACGGCAGAAGAAGACTCGTACAAGGCCGATGCCCCTCTGTCTCAAGAGGGGAGAGATTATGCCCAAAAAATGTCCGAGGCTCTTTTGAAGCATCGAGAGCAGGAACGTCTGACAAACATCGAGGAAGGGGGTCCAGATGTGCCTCTACCGCCACTCACCGTTTGGACATCGACTCGTATGCGTACGGTGCAAACTTCTGACGTCCTAAAGGAGAAAGGCTACAAGGTCCGTCAGCGAACACAACTCAGTCAAATCAACCCAGGCGTTTGCGAGAAGATGTCGGAGCGTATGATTCGCCAGATCTACCCCGATGAGGTCGAAAAGCACGAATTAGACCCTTACCACCACCGTTATCCGCGTGCAGAGGTATGCTTCAACTACGGGTTGGTGAAGTAAGTCATCTTCTCAATGCTAATTATCAATAGTCATACCATGATCTGGCTGTTCGCCTGGAGCCCATCATTCTCGAACTCGAGCGAGAACAGCACGACCTTCTCATTATTGCCCACGAATCGGTGCTTCGAGTTCTCTACGCTTATTTAATGCACTGCTCTACCACTGACATCCCAGTCATCAATTTTCCACGCGACGAGATCATCGAGATCATCCCAGCAGCATATCAGAATGAGGCTAAGCGTATACATATTCCTGGCCTGGATCCCCAGATCGTACCTGGATCACCTCAAGATATCAAAATTCCGGTTCCTAGCAGCGGAGTTGTGAGTGCACAACTGTCCCCTATCCCGAGTGGCATTGGAACTCCTGCTGAGCATGTCGAACGACCTCCTGAGAAGGTTATCAACACTGCCAAGGATATGGTTGCCGACAAAGTCAACGATGAAGACTAGCCTTGTAAATCTTGCCGCCTGGACGAGTTCACATGTTTGGCTAAGAGATACCGGCTGCTTCTTGCCTGTTGTCTTCTCAGCAAGTAACACTCCCACGTCACCATCAGTGTGGCGCCTCGGGGCCCAACATACTGATCATGATGTGTTTAATGATCAGGCACTTGGTGTTGACAAGTTATGTTTGATAGGCATGTTTGCTTGCTTCTTTCAACATGCAGCTCGGTTTATCAGCTCCAGTCGATGAAAGAGGCCCTAACTTCACAATTCTTTCATTTCTCGGCTCAAAGGGGGGCTAAGAAATCTATGTAGCATTGATCGGCACCATGAGTCCTTTGCTTCGTCGCGGTTATGGGTTGTTGCTATAGAATGCTATGTCGCTAGCTATACGTAACGTGAGATGAGCTCATCATAAGAGACGGATATTCATATCCTAGCATGTAGGGTAGCCTCAACTACACCAATGTGACCTGGCAAGTCTCGGGACTTTATTTGTCAGATCGGACATATTCTGGTTGGAAGTTTACCTCACTACCTAAGCACGTCGACAGTATTACCAGCCTGTAGCAGCCAAAGTCTGTCCTGACACCCGCACAGCCATGGGCTAGGGCCAAATGAACCAATTTAAGAAAAAGCTCTGATTCTATTGCTTGCAACGGTTGCATCATGTTAATACCTCAGACACTCCTGAATAGCTAAAAACTAATAGAGGTCTTCGTACGCCAGCTGAACATGACCAAAACGCTGCGTCAACTCAGGCGTGGTTCGATATCCCAGGCTTGATACTTCATCCAAACATGTTGCGTTGGCAGGACTTGCCTCAGAGCAGTCCAGGATAGGGCACATGCTCATGCTATGTTACATACATACACATTCAGGTTAAATAAGGATAAAATCTCAAGGATTACGGTCGTGCAAATACAACGCTGTGGTCTCCCGATGCCTTGTACCTGGAGAATGGCCAGGGTTTGGATCAAGAAGATGCACGTCGCTGGATAGGGAAGCGTGTGCACAGGGGTCAGGGGGGCCGTGAGCTGTTACCGTAGGACTGATGAGATGAGTGTGCCCTTTGGCTGGCTGAGTTATCTTTCTTGGGGGGTACATATGCTTACGGAAGGCCATGTGATGAGCATTGCTTCATGGCTGGGAATCAATCAATAGACCATTTATTACAGCAGCGGATATGCACATTGATCTCCAACCAGAGTCATCATATCCTCATCATTCGCCTATGTAGTATAGAATAAAGAAGCCCTGGCAGATATGGGAATGCGAGAGACTACTCTATTATATTTGTCAGATCATGGGTACATACTCTATAAGAAAACTCTAGAACCGGGGAACCTGGGTAAAGCCCCGGTTTGCAGTCACATATGACAAGCAGCATCACTGCCTGCATTCGAACATATACTTGGACCATACTGCACACCATGTCAACCGTGCATTACCGAGCAATGGAAGCCTCTGGCAATGAAATAAAATAACGCTTGCCAACTCCAGCCACGCTCTACAATTTGCCCCGGTGGCGATATAACAGTAACGCCTGTATGTGAGTGAGACCGGCGATAAACATCCAATAGGCTTACGGGAGACTTCATACATGGCGAAATATATCCGGGACCGAGTGTTGAGTTTGCTTCGTAGCCAATAATTTGACGACAGAAACCATGGGCTGGCGTAGGAGAAGGATATGTCAGCACGAGAAGGACTCAACGATGCTTTGAACGGGGCAGCATAAATTCATTCTTCCAGGATATCTGAAGGAGGTCTCGGGCTCTTTAGATACTGTCATAGACTAACAGAGTA